ACCCAGCAACAATGTCCCCGTCCCACCCCACATAACACTTGTAAAGTATGGACGCTCTGGTGTCAATGCGAGCGGCGCAACGGAATCTTGACGTTTGTGCTTTGGACGGCGCCGTGTTATCAGGCCTATCAGGATTCTGATGGCACTTTCAGATCACTCCCAACATGCCCCCGTGCCCATCTCACATGCACGTGGTGTAAATATAGCGCTGGCTGGTGTCCGAACCACGCTGGCGGTAACGGAAAGTTAGACGGACTTTAGCGGTTCTGACGCAACCGCTTAGTCAGCCCTTGATGCCCTTGCCTGATACGCTTTCATTCATGTACCACCATTGTCCCGGGACCACCCCACCCACATAACACTTGTAAGTATAGACGCTCTAGTACCAATATGAACGACAAAACGAAATTGGCGATGCTCGCTTTCTAGCCCCTCTTATCAGCTATTATCAGTCGTTATCAGTTCCTATCACGTACCACTTGTGTCCCCATCCCACCCCCTATAACATATGTAAGAACCATGGCGCTATCATTGCTGTGACCCGAGCTACGAATTTCCGTCAACACACACACACACACACCACACACACACACACACACACACACACACACACACACACACACACACACACACACACACACACACACACACACACACACACACACACACACACACACACACACACACACACACACACACACACACACACACACCACACACACACACACACACACACACACACACACACACACACACACACACACACACACACACACACACACACACACAACACACACACACACACACACACACACACACACACACACACACACACACACACACACACACACACACACACCACACACACACACACACACACACACACACACACACACCACACACACACACACACACACACACACACACACACACACCACACACACACACACACACACACAACACACACACACACACACACACACACACCACACACACAAACACACACACCAACACAACACAACACACCAACACACACCACACACACACCACACACACACACACACACACACACACACACACACACACACACACACACACACACACACACACACACACACACACACACACACACACACACACACACACACACACACACACACACACACACACACACACACACACACACACACACACACACACACACACACACACACACACACACACACACACACACACACACACACACACACACACACACACACACACACACACACACACACACACACACACACTTAGCGATATTATATATAGTAGGATGCTCGCATAGACACACAAATAGCGCTACTAAAGCTATTCTTGGTGTGAGGTATCCCTAATTTCTTGCACTCACCTTGTGTCCTACAGGCAGTCACTGCCCCGGTTACGTAATGTTGGACCAGCAACACAGCCGAAGACGAAGAAATCTCGGCCATAGGCAACCAAAGGAGAGGAACTAGATTGAGACGATCTCCTGTGCATGCAAGAGTCGAAGCATCGGTTCCCATTCTTATGTAAGCTTTCACGGTCATCCATAGGACAGCGGAAAGTACCACTGAAGCGGTTTGAGCGAAACCGAGGGAAAGAGCTACCGTAATGGCAGCAAGACCGGTGGACGAAGGCTTTTTCTTGTGAGGTTGCAGAGCTAATGAATCCGATGCTCGTGATGTTGGCTTCAGTGTTTGGCCAGGTTTGGTGTTGAGTAAGCGCGGGACCATGAGTGTAACGTTACATAGTTACAGTTTCGCGATTCTGTTAGCAGGTCTACCGAAGTTATTAAGTTGTCATTGTGCAAGAATATGGATCGGCAGCAGAATAGCAAAGAAGAAGAACACGGAGACTTCCACGAACAACTTCTCGAACTTGTGCGAAACAAAAGTGGCGTTGGGTGCGTTCAACGTGCGAATCTGACTACGAAGCTCCGACAACTCAGCAGAAAAGCGCAGTGAAGACGGAGAGGAGGCATCAAGATTCGGCAAACAACAAATCTTCACCATAAAAACGTAATTTCTAAAAGCACAGCATATGAAGAATGTGCTTCACTTTGTCCTCAACACCAGAACGCACACCCGGCAAAGCTGGATCACACACACTGCATGTGATTGAATAGCTAAAGATAGAAGAAGTTCTAGTCATCGTTCCAATAGCGAGAAACGTCTGCTGCTCGCAAAATACGCTGATGAAGTTTGAAGAGTCGGATGAGATCAGAACCGAGCGAAAATTCGCCGCCAAACTTGTAAATAGTGCGAACTGCAGGCAGCTATGGCAGCGTTTTGAGCAACCTGCTTTGCTTACTTCAAGGCACGCTCCGGTACTAGACATGCCCACCCAAAATGCCATACCCGAGCTAGTAGCAGGCCTACAAGCGTTGATGTCGCGCCCCTTTTGCGGCTTGAAAGTGCGCGACAAAGGCGCTGGAAGCTCGTCGACCCGCAATCCACACCTTCGTCCGCAAGCCCCGCCTTCCGCTGTCGGTTGCCACGTGGCGCTGCTTGAAAAGCGCGGGCGCATTTGAGGCAGCGGTCCCATTGCGGTTCCAATGTCATTGGCACTGGAGCAACTGGAGTTAGGTTCGTGAAACTCGTCCAACACGCCCCTTCTCTATCCCAAGGTGGAATGCGGCTGAAATTAAGAAGACCCTTGTTCGCGGTATGCTTATTTGTTCTCTTCCGGTTCTGTTCCACTCCGCACCTCTAGCCGCATTGGTGAACGCTTAAACACCTATTTTATCCCGAAGCTTGCTTTTTAGAAGCGAAAGCGTATTCAAAAAGTCGTAGAATACACGCTACTGAGTAAGTCATTAAGTAAACTCAATAGAAGAGTACACCACTTCTGCGATGTCCAGAGATACTTCGAAGTGACGAAGAAAAGAAATGAAGCTTGAAGAAGAATTGCAGAACACTATATAGTGATTGCGTGTTCGAAGGCCGCGAATGGATTGCACTGCACATTTATACCAGGAAGCAATATTGGTATCATTTTTCACCCTCTTCGAATCGGATTCTACCTTCGTTGGCTGTTAGAAATTCAACAAGAGTGATTTGTTGCCTTCTCTCTCGCTAGTGGTACCTCATGCTTTACAAACACTCCTCGAGGCGAAGCTATGGAGGGAGTCATGACATGATAGAAGTTCTTCAAGCGTGCTGGCCGTCCCTGTGCTAGGTGCTTGGTAAGGGACACACAGGCCTCGTGGCCGAATGCAAGCTCGAGGGAAACGAAGGTGTTGCTATCACAAATCTAACAAATTATTTTCCGAGTTATAGCTCAAACCAGTCCTTCGAGGGTAGTCGCCCTCGAAGTCACGGCGGCGTTCATTAAGGCTCTGACGAAGGCGAAGTTGCCGAAACGTTGGCCTAATAAAGTTAACTAATCTTGGACGGCTACAATCAAGCACTCATCTGATCAATTTTCCTATTATCTACAGTTTCTCACAGTGTTATACCGTTGCAAGCTGGGACGCATTCGTAGGGCTGATAGAGAGAGCAGGCTTCCGTCGAGACTTTAGCACCTTTCGACAACGTACTGGTTTGCTGACGACTTATTCGAAAGATCCTGCAAGCACCACTTGTCTGTACTGATTTTTGTAGACGTTCGAGACTGGAACCAGTGCTACGTAGATGCTATTCTCACTGTGAACTCGCTGTGTACAGCACTCAGCCTCTTCTTCGAAGGCATGATGATAGCATTTGAAAAGGGTGTACGATATACCGGTTCAAGTAACCTGTTCGCTTCTCTCCAAAGTCAGTCATACTGAACTGAGCGACTCCAGGATCAACACGCTCGATTTTCCGAGTTGTTGTCTCAATTACAGAATCCAACGAAACGCGTACAAGATGTTGCATCGCCTGTTGATGAGACAGTCCTGAGTTCAGGCATAAACATTTCGAAAATAAAATTATGCATAAAAATTTCAGGACGACGCCTCTGTCCTGCTGAAAGGATGCCATGCATCGAAGATGTCGAAGAATGTGGGTTACGGTCAACAAACACTTAATGTTTGTGACGGCTTAACTTAGCAGAGCTAAGGGGGGAAAACGCTGCAATGCTAACTGGGGCTGCCTCCGACTGCGTGGTTCTCCATATGAGATACCCAGAATTCGAAGAAGAAAGGATTTGTACGGAGAAGCGCAAGCGGCAAGAAGAGCTGGTCTGGTCAATCGCTACCTGCCTTAGCCACGAGAACTTTGCCCAAGAAGGGTTGTGAAAGGACAGGTAAAATCCCTTAAGCATCTATCGAGCGGACCGTGTTTGCGGGTCTTATGAATGACCCCAGCAGCGAAATTCAGATACTCAACTTAGGGGACCACGTGCATAAGTTTAGATAGGCGTCTCCTATTCCTACTTACTGAATTGAATGAAAAAACGTATTTCCAGGCGCCTGATGAGAGTTGAAAGGCGATGCTTGCTAAGAAATTGTACCTGGGGTTAAACTAGCAATTCGCCAAGAATGAGTCGATCTTGTATGCCTTAGGTGACTGTGTGCGCTTAAGACCTTCGCAAACCGGTAGAAACACTCTGACGCCCACTCTATGCAAAAGAACATTATCATCCAGTTTTTTCTTGCATGCACCCTTCTCCCCAATATTTTGTATTGGTCCTACAGAAACCACGTGGAAGACGAAATCCTACTTAACTAGACGAAAGGAGAAGTCGGCGTGCTTGCAAAATCGCTGGCACGTGCGGCTAAAAATGCCACAACTTGCGATGTCGTCAACGTGTTGATTGCAACGCTTTTCTTTGCAAAACCTTCGCTGTTCATGAAGAAATCTGCCGAAATGACTAACCATGGGAAGTGGTCGAAGAAATGTGCCACCAAATTGAAGAACAATGAAAATAAAGAGCGAGGAAAAAATAGCAAACAACTGAAAAATAATAAAATAAACGCTTCCGAGATGTTAATAAAAAACAAGGATAATGAAAACAAAGAATTCAAAAGCGGCGTAAGGGTCGGAAAGCAAGATCACCTGGGTCTTTGTTCCGGCTGACGCGTTCACCATCGTTCTAGCAAGGGAACACGAATTTGGGTATACTGGAAAAAGACTAGCAATTGACGACGTGAACCCAATAGCATAAACCTCCTAAATGCAACAAAAACATCTGTAATGATTTCTCTACTCCTACCAATTACACGAGTGGTGTTAGCGTGTGACACAGGCTACTTTAATGAAAACTTGTACTAGCAGCGCAGCCATGATAATGGAGAAAATTTTGAGATTGGACTTCCCTAAATAGGCTTCCCATTTTCAAATTTTTCAACACGATCCTTCTTCAAAGGTCGGTGGAGGTGTCCATAGTGTCGTTGGACTGCTTACTGGACCTGGATCCACTTCAACTTCACCAATTCCGCGCATCGCAATTCAGAAGGTCTGATTGAAGGACAGCCAAAGACCCATCCTGGTCTCTGGCGACTCTAAACCTTCGAATGAAGAGCTTCATTGAATACGGCACAATCGGACGGACGGTTTACCCTAGTTGGAGATCAGTAAACAGTGCAGTAGTACTGAATGACCCCCATCCAATTCTTATACAAAAAAGATTTGAGCATTTTTGAGAGAGAAGCTCAATAAAAACACCCCAAAATGTCTTCGAGGCACGTCACTCTTGCGCAATTTGTTAACGAAATACTCTAAAATGATAGATTAGCAGCAGCTTGACCGATCCACGTTTTCTGACTTTGACGTGAACATTGCAACTCAGTTTACATTTAGTGTCACTGTAGAGATCAAACCTGTTTACTATCAATCGAGTAGTTATTCTGTTTAGCTAACAATTTTGCCATCGAAATATGAACTGCTACGATAACAATGGCAATGGGAACAGCTTCTTTAATGAGATGTGGTAAAATCGCGAAGCGGGGAAGCGATGGTAGCGGCAACCTGCAATCAGCAGCTATTCAGAACAAAGAAAAATGTGACCTAAACAACAAATAAAAAGGTTAGGATTCAGCAAAAACATAGAAATTAAAATTAGAATTTTTTTAGGGGGATAATCAAAGAATTACTTATAAATAACAAATACCCCGTCGGAATTCTCCAACAATTCGCACTTCGAACTTCTTTTCAAAGTGAAGAAGCCATGAAACAAGCGCACCAAATATCACCTGAATCATTATGTAAAATGAAAGAATTCTAACTTAATAGATCCGGCGATGACAAACTCCGATGAGTTGTGTGAGCCAAGCTCCCAAAAAGACCAATAGAAGTACAAGCGTTCGCGTAGCTAAAACGAGTCACGGCGAAGTCACAGCCAGTTGACTTTTGAAGAAAGAAGAGGTGCACGGATTAATAATTAACTAGAGGCCATTTGTGGGTGTAAATAATTAAACGATCTAGGTCTCTGATTTACGGGACTCAAGAACAGTCTCGAAAGTTATAACCTGGCAAAGCGGCTTCATTCCTGCAAATTTCTGCAATTGTCTTGGAGATCTTGATCAATTTCGAGATGAATGATTCATCTTCTCAGAAAGAGTTAGGGTCACAGTGGTGGAAATGAGCAGTAATATGTTTGTGTCCCATAACTCCTGCCGGAGTTTCGACAATTTCTTCTCATCGAGTTTTATCTTCCTCTAAATCCAATTGGTTAGAAATATAAACATTATCATAATCATCGACATGCATCCATTCGCCAGGTAACCTTAGGATGCTATCCTTCTAGGATGGGTGAAGCCAGTATGACCTGGGGAATTCAGCAAGGTCGTTTTTGGAGTGGAATTAGAAAGGAAGAAGCCGAAAGGAAGAAATGACATTTTGAATTTTGATCAGAAATCGGACTGGAATTATGGAAAAATTCCAATTAATATGTGAGGCCGCTGATTCAATAACCTGCGAATAGACTAGCGATAAAATGAAAATGAATCGCCACAAATAAAAGTAGACCAGTCAGGTGAGATTGTTGGCTAACTTCATAGCTTCCTAGCGGTTTAGCTTCATAGGACTATTACTATAATGCATCTGTATAAATTTTAGCTTACTTCTAGCGAGTTCTGGACTCGATGCTTTCTAAACATACGATGGTGAGTAATTGCTGGTTGTACTATTTATTTCGTTGATCTCAGAAAAAAAAACTCCCAGCAGAACTTCCGCTTTAGAAGTTAATTTCAGTGAACTGATTATGACTTGTAATTGCTACTCTGACATGATAGTCGCCCACATCTTACTGCCATTTCGCGCAACATGTTGTCACGTCCCGGGGCTGAAAATTTTGGCCAGGGTAGTTCTAGTCGATCTGATCGCTAATGGTTGGTGTCTTGATATGCTGGCCGCTTGCTTTCCAATCTGATGGATTGACTTTCAAACTGTTAGCAGACCACATTCGGTCAGATGAGCCGATTTCGATTTCAAGGAGCGGATCACTTTATATAGGTTCAGGTTGGGTAGAGTCATTTCTTGCGAAAGATACAATCGTTATAATTGACATCCATGACCACAGTTCCTAGGGATCTCTTCTTGCCGGATCTTCACGACGACTTCCACGCTTTCATCGATAAAACTCAATGGAGGGCGGCCGAAAGCATGTACAGCTTCAAGTCATGCACGTACATGACGGAACGTTTTGCCGAGAAATTCGCGCAATGTTACGTTTGGAGCTCGGCCCGGAAGTTGAATGCGATTTGCGATTTTTTTTTGACCAGCCTGAACAACGAATTTTTTGAGATTGCCGCACCTTGAAACCTATATGTTTCCTTTAGATCCTCGCTGAAGTGTGGGGGGCTGTCTATTTGCCAAACGATAACCCCCAAATCCTTACTTGACTTTTACTATCATATGAGCAGTTCAAGCGAGTTTTGAGTTGTTCTGAACTCTTATTCAACTTCCAGTCATCTTTTTGATCATTTCTCTTCTAAATGATTCTCTGCACCCATGAGATGTTGATTTCTCCTTCTCTTACGGGAATACTTTAAACATGTTAACACCAGACATGATCTCCCCTGTTCCTTTGCTTATCATTGTCCAGACGGGCATGGTACGAAATGCCATCTCGAAGAGCGAAGGCGAGCTTCCTTAATTGAGCTCCTGCTAGATGTTAGTTGCGTTTGCGACTTTGAGCAGGTTACTTGGAATTTCATGTTTTTCTATTTTTCAATATTTTGAAACGTAGAAACACGCATAAATTTCTTGTAGAATGTGTGAAGCGGAGCACAATACTACGCGCGTAATTTTTCGCCACCCTGTAATTTGAAAGCTTTAAATATACGTTTATGTACGTTACGTACGTTTATGGCAAGACTCACCGCGAGTATTCAAATGGAATGGGAACAGGGCCCCAGCCGCGCGAAAACGGGCGGGATTAATAACTTCTTGCCATAGACAAGTTACTACATAGCGGGCCCAAAAAAACAATGTGACCAGGATGGTTAATAAGATTCGTCCTGTAGATTTCAACCGCGATATCGAAGACACGCTAAAGTAGAGATAGTTAGATATAAGCGTTACAGTTTCACTTCAACTTCAGCTGTGAAAAAGGTTATGTGAGTAGGGGGACAATCGTTAACTCCCTGCTTATAGTTGGGGCAATATTTTTGGTTTTGGTGACAGGATGTGACGTACACCGATAGAGTTCAAACCTACCACGTACCAACATCGCATTTCCTATACCATCACGTCTTGGTGTGCCGTAAATCCCTGTGATGTCTTTCAATTGAGTCACGAACACATGCACAGCGGCACCAGTAGTAAAGCCGGCGACAATCTGTTCGGAGAAGTACGTTGTGAGAAAATCAAGCCCAAGCACGGCTATCATAAGCTGAAGTACTGCTTTACTTGGATGCTGAACCGGAATATCAGGTGCTTTGCGTTGATAAGGTATTCACCTGGACTAGTCCGATAGCTAAGGTGAGAGCAGAAGCCACTTCGATAGCTTGGAAGCTGGGCTCAGTTGCTGCAGACGTATTCGACACCATCGTACTTATGTTCTCAGATTTGTGGGAAAGCCGATAAACAGTTCGTCCGGACATTAAAGCAACGACGGCAAAAGAGCCTGGGAACAGAAGAAGAGTGAGAAAGCAAATAACTCGGCTTAATTGGCCCAAACATCCGAGGTTCTGCAGAATCAAAAATGACCTGATGAAAAATGGACCGTAAGAGCCTTTCCTTGAGTTCAGGCGAGGGAAAGAAATTTGGGAAGCGTTTGAATACTGCTGCAGGGTGATGTAGAGAAGAGCTCAAAAGTCTTTTGCCAAATTCTTTAGAATCCAACAGAACAAGCGACTGCATGGTAAATAATGTTATGTTGAATAAACGTTGGTGATAATTTCAAGGGTAGCTGAAACCTTAACAGGGCCCAGATATGGAATCAGTTGCCATGCCGACGTTACAATGCCCGATGCTGCCTGAAATAACTGCCGCGGATACGCGTCAGACCCTTGAGGCCGCATCATACATTCTGACGCACATGCGCACCAGCCGTTTCGTTTCCATTTTGTAACACATGCCAAAGTTCTTCTTTTTCTTGGTAGTATTCTTCAGAAAATACGCTACCATGAATATAAATGGTGTGGTCCATAGAGGAGTTAAATATCCTTTAGGTTCTCTAAACCAGACCAAGTTTTCTATTTATTTTGATCCTTGACTTCTATTTTGAAGTAAACAAGCAAATAAAAAACATTAACTTAAACAACAATAAGATACAATAATGTTAAGGAGTCACGATTCTATGGATATGATGATTTGTGTTTTTTATTGGAGCAGTCTGGCAAAATTCCTCGACCTTCCGTTTCTTGTTTGAGTCATAGAGAGGGAGGAAAGGATACAGGAGGGAGTGGGGTGTGATCTGAGCGCTCGAATTCGCCCACTCTCCCATGCCCCGAATTCTATTCACGAGAAGACCGCGCTAGCACGTATACTTTTTGCATCCGGCGGCCGATTTCATCACTGCAGGCTTCACAATACAATTGGCACGGTCTGCACTGAATGTGGTAGCTTCTTGCAAAAGAAATGTTAAACGATGACAGTTATATTCTGCAAACTATCACCAATAATAAATACCATTCAATAGCTATCGGTAATCACTATAAAGTGTTATTAACTTCTTGAAAATGCGAATTTACACATAGTGAGCTCGCGGTACACGTATCAGATTATAGGTTCATGACGCCTACATCTGATGGTGTGTAGCGGTTTGTATGTATAAAATGTATAAAAAGATAATGAGGCTATACATATTTATTAGATATAACATAAGGTAAGAAAAGGGTCGTGAAGCGGGGTGAGTATGGTCAAGGCTTGGACCATCACTCCCGAGCCCCGGCTAGCCAACGCCAGCCTCCTTCGATACCGTAACCTGGGCCACGCCCCTTGACAGTGGACGTGGACCTGACACGGTCACTACATCATTGAGCGATAGAGTGATATCACAAGTGACCTAACACTGGTGAAATTGGCTGGTAGAGAACAGATCAACAAGACAGATATCGAGAGCCTGGTTCAGAGCATCTCTTAACTCACTGGAAGCTTGTGTAGGCCTACCGATTTTAGATTCTGAAATTATTGACCGT